TCATTGTGGTTTTAATGTGCATTTCTCTGATGACTAGCGATGTGGAGCATCTTTTCATGTGTCTGTTGGCCATCTGAATTTCTTCTTTGGAGAAGTATCTGTTCAGATCCTCCACCCATTTTTTAATTGGATTATTTGCTTTTTGTTTGTTGAGGTGGGTGAGGTCTTTATATATTTTGGATGTCAACCCTTTATCGGATCTGTCATTTATGAATATATTCTCCCATACTGTAGGATGCCTTTTTGTTCTATTAGTGGTGTCCTTTGCTGTACAGAAGCTTTTCAGCTTGATATAGTCCCACTTGTTCATTTTTGCTTTTGTTTTCCTTGCCCGGGGAGATATGTTCATGAAGAAGTTGCTCATGTTTATGTCCAAGAAATTTTTGCCTATGTTTTTTTCTAAAACTTTTATGGTTTCATGACTTGCATTCAGGTCTTTAATCCATTTCAAATTTACTTTTGTGTATGGGGTTAGATAATGATCCAGTTTCATTCTCTTACATGTAGCTGTCCAGTTTTGCCAACACCAGCTGTTGAAGAGGCTGTCACTTCCCCATTGTATGTCCATGGCTCCTTTATCGTATATTAATTGACCATTGGGTTTATATCTGGACTCTCTATTCTAGTTTACTAAGGCTTCACACGAATGATAGCTCACTTTGTTCTGAACCTTACTTTTTTCCTCTAACAACTTGAAGCTCCTCCTATATTTACACATATAAAGTAGTCTCATTCTTTTTAAAAGCTGCACAAAATTCCAGCCTTCTGCTGGAAATTAGCTAAACTAATCTACTGATGGACATTTAGGTTATTTCCAGGCTTCTGCCATTATAAACAATTCTGTTATGGATTTTCTAAAGAAAATTTTTTTTTGGCTCACAGGCAAATATAATCAAATATAATTAAAAGATAAATTCCTAGAGAGAACTGCTGGGTCAAAGGGCATATATCCATGCATTTTTAATTCTCACAGATTATCCCTTCTAGAATCAAATTTCCTCTAAGATGTTGCACCAATTTATATTCCCACCAACACTGAATGGGACTGATCTTCCATACCTTCCCCATGTTGATCAAACTTTAACCCAAATGTTTCAGCAAGTGTTTTGTAGAAACCTCTGAGTAAGACACTGGAGAATGATCCACCTCTTATTTTGAACTTTAAACTGCCTTGCTCATTAGTAAAAGGGAGTAATGGCTTTTGAAATTCCAAGAGAGTCAAATTGTGGCAGTTTAGGTTCAACTAAATGAATAAAAGGTTTTTCTGAAAATAGAAAGCCAGGTAGGAGAAGGGGAGAAACCCTTTCATTCTAAGGATGGAAAGTAAGGCAACAGAAGGTTCTGTTAAGAGTGTGCAAGCAAGTGGCCTCAAAACAGAGCTGGGATTGCATCAAACCCAGATGATATCCACAGTGAAGTCTGGGCTGACATGGCTGGAAACTGCAAGGGTTTTTCTGTCCTATTGTACCTCTTGAAGCAGAGAAGAGTGCCAGGGACTGCAATGCACAGAACTACAGCTGAGTCCTTTGGGGCAGAGGCTCAGCTTTCTAACCTCTGTGTTTTTCAGAAGCCATCTACTTTAGGAATAGATTTCCATGTTTACATTTGCCCATTAGGATTCAGAGCAATTCATGACATACCTTTGGATTATTATTAAGTTCTTATAGCAAGTGAGGATATAAGAAATGACTTAATGTCTGCTTGAGGGACTGGGGATAAAGACATCACTGATAAAGATATGTGTAAGGGGACTGAGGACTCCTGGGCTGTCAGCTTCCCATATGAACAAATCTGGGTTGGAATTCTCAAAATTCATTCAGAGGCTGCTGCATGATTTTGCCATATCCACATACCACCTAACATTAAATTTTTTCTTTAAATATACTGTTTCCTCAGCACAGTATTTGTAAAATTGTCTGATATTCTATTTTCTTTCTATAACATGGTAAAACAAATATATATGGTAAAATTAAAAACCCATGTAATCACCCCACATACACACTAAAACACCTCACTCATGTGCCATCAATGGCACATATACTTCACTCTGGCTCACACTACACTGGCCCAGTTCAGGCAGAGGCTAAGGAAGGATTGATTACTGCCATAACTATAAGCCCAAAAGGATTTTGAGCAGTCCTCAGGTGAGTGAGCCTGCAAAGGTTAACTGGGCACACACTACTGTGATATCCCCAGCACTGGACACTGCAAGGCCATGGTCCCTACCTTCAGCCATCAAGGTTACTACCTAGGCAGAACAACAGCTCTGACACATGAAGTTACAGAAAAGGCACAGTGGTATGTAATCAGTAAGGACAATGGTTGTTACAGACTGTATACAGGAATTCCGAATAGGTGGCTATCATGGGACTGGGTGAGGGCAGAGAAATTGAGGAAGACTTCCTGAAGAAAGTCATTTGAATCAAAGTATCTGTAGATGCTCACTTAGATAATGACATCCACAAGGCAGGGCCTATGGGATATACAAGAAAAGTATAATGCATTTTCTACGTGCTCAAGGAACTGACAATCTGGTTGAGGAGACCAGAACCAAACCAAAAGGAAGCAAGAAGAAAAGAAGAATATGACCAACTACTTAGGAGTTGGTATAAATAAGTGGTCTCCAAACTTTTTTTTTTTTTTGAGAGGGCATCTCTCATATTTATTGATCAAATGGTTGTTAACAACAATAAAATTCTGTATAGGGGACTCAATGCACCATCATTAATCCACCCCAAGCCTAATTCTCATCAGTCTCCAATCTTCTGAAGCATAATGAACAAGTTCTTACATGGTGAACAAGTTCTTACATAGTG